TATGAAAAAATGTTCAACATCACTGGTCATTTGAGAGATGCAGATGAAAACAACACTGAGATTCCACCTCAACCTAGAAAGCATGGCTGCTATCAAGAAATCAACCAATAACAAATGCTGGCAGGGGTGTTGTGAGAAAGGAACCCTTCTCCATTGCTGGTGGGAATGTAGACTGGTGCAACCACTGTGGAAATCAGTATGGAGATATCTCAAAGAACTAGGACTAGAGGTCCCATTTGACCCAGCTATCCCCCTGCTGGGTATCTTCCCAAAAGAATGAAAAGAATATCACAGCGATATATATGCACCCATGTTCATAGCAGCACAGTTTGTAATAGCTAAAGCTTGGAAACAGCCCAAGTGCCCATCAACTGGAAACTGGAGCAAGAAGATGTGGTTTTTTTTAATAAAATGGAGTAATACTCAGCCATTAAGAATGAAAAATTAGAGTCATTTATAGCTGAATGGATGCATATCGAGGCCATACTCTTATGTGAAATAAATAGGACACACGTGTAAATACCGAATAGTTCCACTAGTGTGAGAAACTGATAGTGTAAACAAGGGTTAAAATGATTAAAATGAATAATTGATAATTTGAAATAGGAAAAAAGGTCCAAAGACGAAGGGGTGAAGGGAGGGGAAGGGGAAAGGAAAGGAGGGAAAGGAAAAAGTATGAGAAAATTAAAAAAAAATGGAAATGTTGTCCATGTAAATAGGGAAGGGTGGAGGGGGTGAAGGGTGCACAGGTAATGGGGAAAAAATAAGAACCAAGATTCATCATGTACAGGTACAAACACCCAATGATAAATGTAAACGAATTGTATACCTAAAATGTACCAATAAAAGAATTTAAGAAAAATAAAACCTGTATGAAAAAGCTACACAATTTTACTGAACATATTATTTTCCTATTGCTGTGGTAACAACCACAATCTTAGTGGCTTAATTTAAATTTACTGTCTTACAGTTCTGTAGATTAAATGTGTCACTGGGCTAAAGTCAAAGTGCCAGCAGGGCTGCATTCTTTTTAAAGGCTTTAAGAGAGAAGCCCCAACACTTGCCCTCAGGTATTGGCAGAATTAAGTTCTCTGAGGTTAGTTCTGTGTTTCCTTGAGGATTGATAGCTAGGTGTCACCTTTATCTCTTAAAGGCCTCTCTCTGGTTCTTCCACATAGCTCAGTACCTTTCAGAAGCAGCAAGAGGACATGGAATTCTTATGCTTTGAATATCACTGGTAATTAGTTTGGCTGGTCCATGCACTTTAGGATAATGTCATCTCCAAGTCCTTAACCTTAATTACTTATGCAAAATTCCTTTTGCCATGTTAAGGTGACATGTTCGGTGGTTCTGGGGAATTAGGGCCTGATTATTTTGGGGGGCAGGGCATTAGTCTCTACCACACTGAAGGACATTAAGAAAAGAACATCACATTTTTAGATAGGAAGATTCCCTACTGTAAAGATGTCATTTCTGCCTAAATTACAAATTCAGTCCTAGATGTACTAACAATAACTGGTTGGATTTTTCCTTCTGCTAAGTTAGATAGATGCTCAGAAAAGATTATGCTGTTTACGGAAATAAAGGATCCTAACATTTCTTGCCAACTTCAACTCAGGTAGACTTCATATATTCTAGAAATGTGTGACACACCAGCATGCTCCACAAGGACAAAGTAATATTCCTATTGTTTCCAATGTCCTATTAATATCCTAGACTTTTCTGGTCATCACTTTTCAGGTACACATTTGACTGATACTCTGAACTAAGCCAACCATGGTGGCACACACCTGTGATCCCAGCACTTAGGAGGCTGAGGAAGGAGGATCGCTGCCAGTTTGAGGCCAGCCTCGCTATATAGTGAGACCCCGCCCCCCCAAAAGAAATATGAATTGTCTAGAGAGACTTCTATCCTTTTCTTACTCATAACCAAGATCTCAAAACTTTCCGTCACTCTGATTAAATACCTAAGAAAATCAACTTAAAGATTTATTTTGTCTCACATTTTAGTGGTTTCAGACCATCGTCAGCTGGCTGCATATTGCTTTTGTGCCTGTGGTATGGCTGAGAAACATGGCAGGAGAGTATGGCAGAGGAAAGCTCCTCAGCTCATAGCAGCCAGGAAAAAGAGAGAGCCCAAAGGAGCTGGGGGACACAGTATAGTCATGAAGGTCACCCTCATGATTCCCTTCCACTAGGCCACACCTCCTAAATGTCCATCAGCCCCCAATAATGCCATCAAATTATGACTCCATCAATGGATTAATTCCACTGATTTAGAGCCATCATGATTGAGTCACCTTCCAAAAGCCCCACCTCTGAACACCTGTGCCTTTTGGGGGACATTTTGGAGCCAAACCATAACATGTAGTTTCATTTTACTTCCCCTAACATATTATTTTTCAAGTGCTCAGGTGAAACTCATGTTAATTGTTCTCTCCAGTCACACAGCTTCATGAGAACTTTTAGCAAAAAGTCCTGGAGAATGAACACTGTATTTTAGCCTGAGACAGGATTTACAAAAGAAACTTTTCAGTAGGGTAGGGTGGCACTGAGGATCGCAAGTTCAAGGCCAGCCAGAGCAACTTAGTAAGATTTCCCCCATCTCAAAATTTAAAAAGAAAAATAAATGTTGGAGAGGTAGCTCAGTGCTCTCTGGGTTCAATCCCTAGTGCAGGGCAAGGTGGTGGGGGAAAGTTGAGGAAAGAAAACCTCATCACTTAACTATTTTTCATCATGACGCATCCTCAAGAGACGTGGATGACACTAGATTGTGCGAAAGTAAGGCAGATTACATCGGTGGATGCACACGTCTCTCACGTGGTTTCTGTTCATGCTTGAGGGTATGGGGTGGAGATGAACAAGAGATGAGTGTTTTTATCAGACTAAAAATAAGTGCTGTTTGTAAAAATGCACTTACAAAGGAGTGTATACAATGATTAACTCTCAATTGTAGTTCATTCAATTAAAAATCCACAATTTCAACACATTACAGTAAAGTTTTCAATGCACTCTAAGACCCTGGAAACAGTTCCTACACCAAGCGTACAGTCCGAAGAATAGACACCGGAGGCATCATTCTTACTCCTTAAGGGCCAACTATGGTCGTCTGTATTTTCTGTCTCTCAATTACCTTTACTGGTCAAAACATGAAAGAAAAAAACCCTGCATTTTCCGGGACCCTATTATATCCTGGGAGAGGGCCGTGGTCCCCTCTTGATCTCACCAGTCCTGAGCCTGGCAGAGTCTGTCTGCCGCACACTGAACAAAAGAAAGTGCCCAAGAAGGGCACAGTATCAAGGCACAGCCAAACCGCCCCAGCCGCCAGTTGCACAGCCTGGCGTCCGGCACTTGCGTAAATTTTCTGGCTAGGAGCAAGCCCCGTGCGTTCCCTCAGAAGGCAAAATAAAACAGACACGAAAATCCCGGATGTAACCACACCATCCATTCGGATTGCGCATGCGCATCCTGCGGGTATTCGCAAGCAGAGAAGGGCGGGGTGTGAAAAGAGCAAGGCGATGATTGGGCGGGAGGGGAGCCACGCCCACCGCACCATCCTCTGCGCATGCACCAAGCTGCAGCTGCTAGTACTTCCGCGACGCGTCAGAGGACTACTCGCTCAGTTAGCGTCCGGGTGTCAGAAGAAGAGGGTGTCACTTTTTTGTTAGCGAGCGCTTACACAAAGCTTCCATCCGTCATAAGTTTCGAGGGGGAAGCGTCTGTTGGGCCTTTCTCTCCATCCTGAGGGAGGTGTCAGCAGCCTGCGGTGAGTGTTCTGGTGAGAGGACAGATCCGTAATTTTCTCCGTTGTGAGTGGCTCCTGGAAAAGCCGGTGGCGCCGGAAGCGGGGCCAGAAGGCCGAGCTTGCCCTGGTATCCGCTGCCTTGACGGGGAGTGGGGCCCTTAAGGCGCGGTCGCCTGACTCAGCCTGCGCCTTGCTCCGGGTCCTGCGGTGGCCGGCTGGCCGGCCGTCACCCACTTCCGGGCTGTGATTTTTTTTTTTCTTTTCTTCTGTTTTCAGATGCTGTTGAGTTTGCAACAAAGGATTTTTGCAAGAAAGGACTTTTCTAAAGAAAAGGAAGCCTAGACCGGGGGCAATTTTCCTGGGGAAAGGGAAGGACATGCTTTACTTAATCTAAACTTATTCAACCATTTGATTCTCACCTTGTATGCTTTTGCCCTGTAGTTTAACCATTCTCTCACAGAGCCTGTGTGCTTTTCACCCGCAGTTTTAATTATTTGTGCTTTTGTCCCATATTTCAACCATTCACTGTCCATAAAGACTATGCCCTTTTGTACCACAGTTTAATCATTCACTTCTGGCCAGATCCCCCATAGCCAGGTGTGGTGCCAGTTGCATTCCAATTATGTAATGATGGCCAGTCTGTGGCAGGTATGTATATGTATGTTACTTCAGTGTTACAAAACCTAAGAAGATCTAAACATGGTAGTTCTGGTCAGAGCCAATCAAGGTCAATTTAGGACTAGCCAGGCATGGTGGTACATGCCTGTAATCCCAGTGCTTGGGAGGTTGAGGCAGGAGAATTGTAGTGGGTTTGAGGCCACCTTGGACTACAGTGTGAGGCCCTGTCCCAAATACATCATCAGTCCTCTAGTGGAACTTAGTGAATTGCTGTTAACTAAAGATGTGCTTTCTAGTATTCTGTTATTTGCACTTTCCAAGAATTTAGCCAAGTGTTTTTTTAAAAGTTAAATTTCAGCCAGGTGTAGTAACACACTCTAGGAAGCTGAGACAGGAGGATTGAAAGAACACAGCCTGAGTAACTTAGTAACTTAGTGAGACCCTGTCTCAAAAAAGGTTTGGAGATACAGCTCAATGTGAAGACCTTGGGTTTAATCCCCAATACCAGAAAGTAAAAAAAAAGAAAAAGTTCATTTCCTTGGTCACGTTAGTCAATTCTCAATAGTTCAATGGCCATATGTGACTAATGGCTATATCATTGAAAAGTACAGGTAAGAGAATTTTGATTATACGTAAAACTTTCTATTAGGCAGAGCAGCTGTGAAGAGAAATTTGACCATTTGAAAAATGTAAATGTGCAATGTCTTGGACATGTATTCCTAGACATGCTTGTTAACTTGTTCTTAAAGCCTTTAGTCACATTCTTTCTAAAGGTAGCAGCACATGGTTTGAACAAGGGGAATTTCCATTGCTGCTACGGGTAATGTTTCAAGTTTAGATTAAGAATGACTTTACTGGAAGGGTAATATATGCATCTGAAGGAATAAAGAAGTTTACATTGTAGGTTCATTTTTATTTTAATGAGACTTGAAAAGATGGTAAACCACCATTGTTAGAGCGCTAGAACAAATCCAGGAAAATATCAGGATTGGTTGAAGATTTATAACTGAAAACGTGGTTGGTGTGGAGCTCAGAAAATTATCAGAAAATTACAGTATTTGATGGTGATTAAAGGCTGATTGGTTGATACTTTCATTTGCAAAGTTCTGGTGTTTAAGAATTTCCTATTTAAGGGAGACTCTGAAGTGATGACCTAATCCTAGGGTCTTTTTCACCTCTTGGCTGGTTATGGGAACACCTGTTCTGATCCTGACCTGTGTTTAAATAGCCCTGAGGAGCACACAAGCCACGTAACTATCTCAGTCAAACCCCTTTCCTCATGTGCAAGAGAGGTGTTTGGCTAGTTGCTATGGATATGTGCCACTGCTGCCTGAGCCCACTATGTGGCTCAGGCTGACCTTGAACTCACAGCAGTCCTCTTGCTTCAGCCTCCCCAGTACTGGGATATAGGCAAGTGCCACCATGCACAGCTCAGATTCACTTTTATAGCTAATACTTTTCTTCAGACTTCTTTACCATTAGCTTTTTCCTTAGCTCATTAACATGTTTGAGACTTCTCAATTTCCTCTTTCATTTCTTAGTCTATTGACTTTTCTTTTTAACTACTGAATATCTTGAAACAAATAGCTTATATTCTTTCTTGATCTCCCCCCCATAATTATACTATGAAATCCTATCAATTCTAGTCTTCCTCTTTTTCTAAAACAGAGTCTCACTATGTAGCCCAGGCTGGCCTTGAACTTGAGGTCTTCCCACCTCAGCCTCCCCAGTGCTGGGATTACAGGTATGTACCACCATAATGCCTGGCCAGTTCTAGTCTAAACTGACCTTGGTTGATCCTCCTAGGTTTTTTAACACTGAAGATAACAGATCATGTATACGTACCGCCCCCCGAAACTGGCCATCATTGCATATAATTGAGGTGCAGTTGCATAGGTGTGATGTGCGGTTACTGTATAACCTCTGGTCATATAGGAAGGTGGTGCTGATAGTTACTGAGATAGTTTGCCAAGAGAGTAGATTCAGTGCTGTGCAACAGAAACAAGAGGCACAATAAAAGTAAAAAGATGGGCTACATCAGTATATCTAAAATATGTCAACATTTAATAGAAGAAACACTAATATTTTACATTCTCTATACTGTTTGTAATCCAGTGTTTTATGCATAGAATGCATCTCAGTTTGGAGTACCCACATTTCAAGTGATCATCATCATACAGAGGTTGGCTACCATTTTGGAAAACAGTGCTACTGATGATAGGTTCAGGTGACATGCTTTGCTCTGTTTCTCAAACTAGAGAAGTCACGTTCACCAAAGTCACCACACTGTGATATCCTCTGGTTTTCTCTGTGACAACTACAGCATTACGCTTACTCAGTAAAATAAAACAAGTAAAACTTGTCCTGTGAATGTGCACTTTTGCAAAGGCCCGAACTTTTCTCTTGTGGGGTCTTGACTCGAAATTTTCTTTAATTCAGGGATTTACATGAATTTGACTTTTTTCTTTCATGTCTTTGATTTTCTACACTGGGTCTTTGTCCTTTGCCCACCATTAGGATGCTATCCATGGCTTCCTTTACTTTCCAAGCTCTGTCAGTTTTCTCCACTCTCCTTTTACTTACCATCTAATTGGAGATTTTCATCATTTTCTGAGCTGCAGAATCCAGCTCTTCAAAATGAACCTGTGCTACATGGAAGTTGTCACAGTGTTTCCTGTTTGAATTAGTGGCTTTACCACTCACCCATTCATTTTCAGAGTAGTTCCCAAATAAAAATGACATCTGCTTCTTTTGGTTGAAGCTGCCATGGCTGTGGGACGACTTTGCTCTGATTATACACTATTTACCCATCATTCCCAGCTCAATATGACCTCTCTGAAGTCTACCCTTATTAACCTTTCCTTCCCTCCATTCTCTTTTGCTTTAGTACAAGGACATTAAATGCTTCTTTTAAAATACTAGAGGGAACAAAACTAAGTATGGCAAGTGACTATTTTATTTTTGGTAGGATTAGGCAATATGGATGTGGAATTGTCTCAAATCATTTTTTAAAAATTAAAGTAAAATTGCCCCCTCTATTTCTAATTCTTGGAGGCAATAAATATAAATTATGTTATGTACATCTTAGATTTTTTTCTGTGCCTATACAAGCCTGTCAATATACACATATGATGAAAATCTTTTCATGTTAGTATAGATCTGCCTCATTCTATAATTGTATCATAATGTAATTTCTCTATGCACAGTACATTGAACATACTTTATTAACACTTCCATTACCATCTTCAGTTATCAACTCATCATTTGCCTAATCAGAACTTCCTACTGGTATGTCTGACTTATTCCAACCCTAGTCATGTTTTAATTTATATAAATGGCACAAATAATTATTTTCACTTTTATAGAATGTCCCAATTTCAGATTTTTTTATCCTCTATTTCCCACAATTACTACTCAAGTCATGTGTTCTAATATTTTTAGTTATGGATGAAATAAGATTTAAATTCCAATTCTTTTTTCTTACCAAATTGCATTATATATTTAAAAATAATATTTGACTACATAGTTTAACTTTGTTCCAAGGATATTTACATTTTGAAAGATGGCATTTTATGTCATGTCATTATAAGATCCACCTCCTTTCTCCCATAAATTTCTGAGGTTGTAGTGTAGAGTGTGGGACAGATATGCACTTGTAATCGTGCCTGCTTCTAGAGGGGAGGACAGATTGGGATGAATTCCCAGAAGCCTCTGTCACCTTTTCATCACTTACCATAGTTTGAAAAAAAATTAGTATCATTGTAGCCTTCTATCTCTAAAGCTCCCAACTCTGAGTCAAGTCCAGATGTGTGACAAACTTCAGGAAAACAAAGACTCACATGTTTGTAACTAAGCATTTTTAAGCCCAGTAGGTATCATGCATTAAAAGCACAATTTAAATACATAAATAGAAGACAGACTGGGCCCGGGATTTAGCTCAGTGGTTTTGCCACCTGTTGATCAAGCACAAGGACCCGAATTCGATCCCCGGTACCAAAAAAAAAAAAAAAAAAGACTTTAAGACACATGAATAATAAGAAATATAACATATAAACATGAAAATACACAGAAATTCATAGGACCCTTCATTCCTCACAAACAATGAAAGACCTTGGTTTACTGGTACAGTTTGGCAGTCCAAACAGTTCCTAAAGGAGATTAGATAGGTGCCCTTCTTTCCAAGTTTTAATTTCAGCTGTATATGCCCCACAGAATCTTTGTCTTTTTCAAAATTTAGCTTTTTCCCTCATGAATGTAGCCAATTTATGCATTATCATTCTAAAGCTTTTACCAGCTATCTTTATCTTGTTTTTCAATTTTGTAATGGACACACACACAAACAGAATTTCTTTGCTTTCTTTTTTGGTCTTAATAGTGAAGATGGAAAGCAGTATCTTGAGAAAAGCATTCTACAGAGAAATGTCCACTGAACTTTCTTGAATTTAATTTAAATTTATAGTTTAACAGTATTGTCAGATGATCTGACGTTTGAGAAATACACTAGATTCACATTCAAATATGAGAGCGGGGTTAGGGGGATGTAGGTCAGTAGCTAAATGCCCTGGGTTTGATGTCCACCACCACCACCAACAAAATAAAAATGAATAGGAAAAACATCAGTGCCACCTCTGAATATCTGTGAGCCTATTTAATTTTCCTTTTCTCTTCTCTTCATTTCCTTCTCCAGCTTTACCCTGGGCACTGTCAATTATACCAAAGATAGGAAGTCACTTCCCAGGACATCTTTCAAAATCTTCCCTAGTATAGGGGAATTTATGAGTTCTGAAACACTCCCCTCAGCAGATAAATTATCACTTCTATTCACTTTGTGTCTATCCCGAGTTCCTTATGCAAAACAAAAATATATTTCTAGTATCCTAACCCTACCTACTACCTCTCTAAATATAGCACAGTATGGGTACACTTCCACAAGTTGCATTTGAATTGCTTCAACTTTTTTGCTATTTCCAAAAGGAAAAAACGCTGAAATGAAGACTCTCATACATGAGTCATTTAATATCTGGACAATTGAATCTTTAGAATGAATTCCCAGAAGTGTGATACAAGATCAAAGCATAATTTTGGAATTTTAGTGGACTAATCTTCAGTCCTACCAGCAATTTTCTTTACAGTCTTAACTAATACGATGTGTTATTGGACTTTTAATTTTTTTTTCTTTTTTGCTGACCTGGGTATTGAATCCAGAGCTTTGCATATACTAGGCAGGGGCTCTTCACCTCAACTATACTGTTGGCCCTCAAACTTTTGGATTTTTGGCACATTATTTTCCATTTTCAAAAAAACAAAAATAACTCCTTGAGATTCTGATGGGAACAATATTATATTCATAAACTCTTTTGAGATACTTTGGTGAGGCCGGGGATTTAACTCAGTGGCACTGCACCTGCCTCGCAAGCGCAAGGTCCTGAGTTTGATCCTTGGTACTGAGAAAAAAAAAAGTGACTGTTAGTGATTCAGAAAATAATTTGGTGATATTATGTTTTAATGATGTCTTCTAACCAGAAGATATAATTTTTATGTACTTTTAGGTATCCATTTATTTACTTTGGTATTAGGGATTGAACCCCGAGCCTTTGCACTGAACTACATCCCTAGTCCTTTTTGTTTTTCGAGACAGTCTCATTAAGTGGCTAAATTGCCCAGGCTGGGCCCAAACTTGCAATCCTCCTGCCTCAGCTTCCAAGAGTGATGGGATTACAAGTGTACACCTTCACTGGCCCATGTTACTGCTTAAATTTTATATCTGAAAGCCTTTTTATTTGGGAGATTAATTTTCATTTCTACATCTAATTAGTTGCTCAGAAAACACTAGTTTCCATATGTCCTCTTATATCCAGCATTTTACTGCTTTATCTTAATAACTTTAGCACTGTTTCCTCCTTGGCCACGTAGGAAGGAACAAGATTGGACTACTCTCTCCAGTCATCAAGAGACAGCACAAGTATCTTCTGCTACGAAAGGGAATCAAAACAGTGTCAGTAGTACTAAGGGACTACATGACACTGGACAGTCCGGGAAGACCTGTCTTTCAAAGCGAATAGGTGACTTCCTAACAGCATCTTTTCTATGCTGTCCTCTTCTGGGCTCCTCCCAACCCGATTCATCCCACCTCACTCCTTCCTGGTCTTGCCTCTGCAACCTTCTGCGGCTGCGCACAACCCTGCCCGAAAGAAAACGTCTCACCGCCGAAGGTGCAGAAATTGGTCCCAAGTTTCTGAGGCTGACCGGACGGGGCGGGGCTTGTAGCCGCTTATTTGTATATTTGGCAACGCCTCCTGAAGGCCGACGGAAGTGTTCGGTGTTGTTGCCGGAAGTAGAAAGAGGGCGCGTATAATGGCGGCTGCGGCTGAAGTGGAGAAGGTGAGTGCCCATCGGCCTACCTCTGAGTTTTTAATGGTGAGAGTTCTGGGGAGAAGCAGGGGCGATAGATAGTGGCGAGAGCCTGGGTCTCCGGCCAAGACGGCGGCGCAGACGGTGGGCGGCCGTGGCGGTGGTGGGCCCGGGCCTGGCCTGTTGGAACCCACCGGAACTCGGGGCGGAAGCCAAGCCCCGCCTGAAGCGGGTTCTTTTTGCCACAGGCTCCGGTGGACATCGCGGAGGAGGGGTCTCGCACGGTGGCAGAGAATCTGGCCGCACAGAAGCGCGAACAGAGACTGCGAAAATTCCGGGAGCTGCATCTGAAGCGGGTGAGTAGACCCAGAGGCCAGTTCAGCTCTGTCACCTGCCCAGGCTCGTGCGTCTTTCTTTGTACAGAGACAAGGAAGGCGCATCAGAAAGCCCGACCGGTCACAGAGCTGGATCATCCCCTAAAATGCAAACTGTTCCGTGGTTCTAACCCTGGCAGCACATCGAGATGACTTTGAGAAGTTTTGAAAATACATTTGCTGTCTTCACCACCTCTTAGTCTGGTTTAATTTATAGGGCTAGATTAAAGAATCCATTATTAGCAGCCTTCCTGCTCTATGATTCTAATAAGCTCATTTTATATAGGGAAATGTGTAGAGCTAGAAGTTGAAAGAAAACTTGTGTAGTGTCAGTTTAAAAATACAAAGCACAAACCTGGCCGTAGTGATGCACCCCGTTGATACCAGCACTCAGGAGGCTGAGGCAGGAGGATTGCTGCAAGTTCTAGGCCAGACTGAGCTACATAATGAGTTCAAAGCCAGAACTACATAGCAAGACTCTGTCCCCCTCAAACAAAACGAAACAAAACAAGAAAAACACTCAGCACACTTCTGAAAGTCTAAGGTGTGGTTGGTGGTCCCACTGGTGGGTGGGAGGTCAGATGTTTAAAATTAAGGCCTCCGTTCTGAACTAAAAGACAAATCATATAGCCAGAAATTATACTGTGGTGAATGCAATGCTAGAGGTAGGAATAGAGTGCCTAGGGAGTGCAGACATGGAGAGAGTAATACAGTTTTGGGGGCTTGAAGGAGTGTCTCATTCAAGATGTGACACCTAAGCTATTCTTTGAAAGATGAATAATTATCAAATAAAGGAGTGGGAGGAGGAGATAGCGAAGCAGAGGGAACAAACACAAAGGAAGGGAATTTGTAATAGAGGTAAGAATCCAACAAGCAATTGGATACATTTGGAACTAAGGAAAAAGCAGCCTCTATTTTGGCTTGGAATGTTTTTAACTGACTGCTCAGACATGGTACCACAAACCCCCATCACTCCAGCCATTGCAGTGAGACAAAACCAAGACTGTTCAAATCACAGAAATGACCGCACATCCTTTTTTTCTTCTGGACACCACTAACCTACCAATTCCAGCCTTTAGTCTTACTTTCTATGTAGGAATTTAAGCTATCTAATTATGGAATGCCCAATTCAGAGCCTTGTATCTTACCACCAGTCACCTGATGCAAACCCAAATTCTGTAATTAGCTCTGTTTAACACTGTCATTGAAATGTTCCCTGTATTTGCCTCACCTTCAATGAATCCAACTTTGGCTATAGACTGAAGGGTATTGCATTGCCAGAACCAAGCATATATAAGGGGTGGTAGTTGAGAAGATATTTCTCTTTGTCTGGAAAAAGTTAATGAACAATTAAACAGACATGCTTAGTGTCAGGTAAAAGGGCCGAAGACCAAGACCAGACCAGGCCACAGCAAGCCTTTATTAGGGGAATAGATCTGCCGGGCTGTCTTTGAACAAAGGAGAGACAAAAGCAATATGGCTGGGGCAGGGAGAGTCTTTTATAGAGGCTGGGGTGGGGTTTGTAGGGGCTGAGGTGGGGTTGAGTGAGGTAGTGACTAGGGAATGGAGGAGCTGGTGATGTCACTAGGTGGTAGGAGGTGAGTGAGTATTAGGTTACTCTCTAGGTGGAAACAGGGGCATGCTGGGAAGAAGGGTTTGTTCTTTGGTGGGAGCAACCATCTTGGCATGATGTCACACAGGGGAGGGGGCAAGGCACCATAGGAAGAGGGCAGCTACTATACTTAATAGCTGCTGAGGTGGTGGGAGACCTATCACTTAGATACTTACTTAGCAAGGATTGTGTAAAGAACATGTCTGGAAATTAGGAAGTTGGCTTCCTGGGCTGCCACCAGTCTGTGACCTAAGAAATATCTGACCTAATTTTTTCTTAAGATAATTTACTCAGTTTGTTTTATGCAGTTAAGTTTGTTTGAAAATAGACTCTTCATTAATACTTCACATGGGAAAGTTCCTTTTATTTGTCACAAGGTCAACTTAAAATATTTAAAAAGGAGGGGAGCCTAGAAAAGTGTTAGAGATATTAAGATAGGCATTAAAGCCTTTCAACCCCAAATCGAAGCTTTTTCTTTGAATTAATCAGTTTTTAAAAGTAGACTATCTTTCAGTGCCACTTTGGTATGGCTCCCCTACTTTGCAAAACCTTGTTCTGTTCCAACTCAAGGGACAACACAAACAGAGGCAAAAATTGATAATAACTCCTAGGGCTCTGGAACAGCGAACCAGTGCAATGACTTTTTCTTAACTGTATACCAGTGTGGACCTTACCAGGCTGCTCCCTTGTTTAAATTAATTTGATAGCTCTGTTTGGCTTTTAGGATAAAATGGGGTCATCTTGTTAATGTGTCTCACTTGACCTTCCTTGAAGAAAGGGAAGTTGTATTTGGATTTCCTTTCATATTTCATCTGAAAACTTTCTGTTTTATGGTTTGTTTTTTTTTTAATTATTTATTTTTTGTTTTATGATTTTAGAATGAAGCTCGTAAATTAAATCACCAGGAAGTTGTGGAAGAAGATAAAAGACTTAAGTTACCTGCAAATTGGGAAGCCAAAAAAGCTCGTTTGGAATGGGAACTACAAGAAGAAGAAAAGAAAAAGGTTAGCAGTTACTCCACTGTCTTCATAAGTAATTTCTCCCATCCTTCTCTTGTACTGAACCGGAGAACATGGTAGTTGAATAGCCCAGATCTGGAGCCAAACGGCTAGAATTGAAATCCTGGTTCTGCTCTTTACCTGCTGCCGCACTTTTGATGAGTTACTCAGCCCCTTTACACCCCTGTTTTCTCATAGATTTAATTATAAATTAAACGAGTTAATGCATGTAAACATTTAAAATGGTTCTGACATCTCCCTTATATACCATAGCAGATTCCCAAAATGTCCTTTATATATTCATCAGTTTTTAAAAATTATTACTTGAAGCTGAGCAGAGTGGTACATGCCTATAACCCCAGCATTTGGGAGCCTGAGGCAGGAGCATCATGAGTTCAAGGTCTGCCTGCTACGTAGCAATGCCCAGAATCCAAAGAACCCAAAAGCAAACAAAATATTATTTGATATCTTTATTGGATATTTTTGATTTAAAGTAGATAAAAGAATTGTTTGTATTATGGTTATGGTACCACCTTTGTTTTTCCTTTTAGGAATGTGCAGCAAGAGGGGAAGACTATGAGAAGGTGAAGTTGCTAGAGATCAGTGCAGAAGATGCAGAAAGATGGGAGAGGAAAAAGAAGCGAAAAAATCCTGATCTTGGATTTTCAGGTAAAATTGACCTTTTCTTTATTGAACAGGCTTATTAGGCAAGCATTGCCTTCAGTGTGTCTGGTTCAGTGCAAGTATATGCACCTTGTACAAACACATCTCAGAGGGCAGAACCTAAAAAGGCTGCACTTTGGTCATCTGGGTTCTTTTATTCTTTCTGATAAAATGAATCATTCTTTTAACCATAATATTCAGGTTAGTGACTGCTTAGGTTACTGTCCTGTGCATATATCACTTACTTTGATTTTTCTCTGGATAATAATGGGCAGACAAGAATATATGTCATCTCTAATTCTTATTTTATTTTTAGATTATGCTGCTGCGCAGTTACGCCAGTATCACCGGCTAACCAAGCAGATCAAACCTGACATGGAAACGTATGAGAGCCTGAGAGAAAAATAGTAAGTCCACAGGTTTAATTCAAATCCTCTGTCATACTGAGCTGATATGGATATATTTGTGTGTGTATGGATGTATACCTACATATACACATACATAAATACAAATGCACTTTTTCCCTCCAGTACTCTCTGTGGTTTGGACCCAAAGCTTTTACACTGAGCTATAGCCCCAACTCTTTTTATTTTTTATTTTAAGACAGGGTCTTGTTAAGTTGCTTAGGCTGGGGTTGAACTTGTGACCCTCCTGTCTCAGCCTCCCAGAGTGCTGGGATTACAGACATGCTCCCTTGTGCCTATCTCAAACATATTTTGGGGTACAGCTGTCTTAAGAATGGACTCAGTTTTGACATTGTTTATTGACCACTTCATAGCAGTTAAACTGCCTGGTTTTCTTTTGAGCTTGGCATTCTGAGTGTTGAATGGTTAACCCGCAGTTTATCATATAAGTAAATAGGCAGAATACTTTAGTACTAGGGTAGATGAGCTTTTTCTTTTCCTTTTTTTTCTTTCAGTGCTGGGGACTGAACCCAGGGCCTTGGGCATCCAAGGATAGTGCTCTACCTCTAAGCTACACTCCCAGCCCTCCTGAGCTTTTTTTTTTTTAAAGCCCAAACAGTAAATATTTTGGGCTGTATGAGCCATAGGTCTTAGTCATAGCTGCTCACGTGTACTCCTGCATTGTGAAAGTAGTCGTATATGGTACCTAAATGATCACTTGTGGCTATGTCCCAATAAAACTATTTTCAAAAGTAGGCAGTGGGCAGTATTATACAGATTCCTGCTTTAGTGGAAAGAGAAATAAATTAAGCTTAGAATCCCAATCTCAATTCTTTGTTACCTTTCATAATTCCTTTAAATTGTGGCATTGGCCCAGTAGAATGAAGAATGAAGATGATATTGGAATACATAGTTTCTTAGGTTTGTTCTAATCCTGTCTTTTCTTTTTTAAAGTAAGGTGGGATCCCACAGTAAATATATATATATATATATATACACACACACACATATACATATATATATATACACACACATATATACAAAATATATATTTATATATTATATATTTATATGTATCATATATTATATATATTTATATATATTATATATGTGTGTATTTTGTCTCTCATCATAAGTAGTAGTTTGAAAATGGAACACCTGTAGTGTTACTATAAATCCATTTTGCTATCTTTTCAGTGGAGAAGAGTTTTTCCCAACATCCAACAGTCTTCTTCATGGGACACATGTGCCTTCCACAGAGGAAATTGATAGAATGGTCATAGACCTGGAAAAACAGTAAGTACTCAGTACAGCAGGTGGAAATGTTAAATGAAATATTTAACAGCAGAACAGACTTGCCATATGGATCCAAGTCTAATATGCTTTGAATGAATTGAACAGATGGAAATGATACTTGTAGTTTTTGACCTAGCATGGATAGTGGTTTTAGAGATACCAAATATAGTTTGAGTCTATATGATTTGGAATGGATATGGAATATACCAGGAAATTGAATTATTATTGAGTAAATTAGTTTTGCATCACTGACAAAATACCTGAGATAAGCAACTTACAAAGAGGAAAAGTTCATTTTGGCCCAGGGTTTCAAAGCTTTCAGTCCATGGTCTCTTGGCCTGTTGCTTTGGGCTGTGGTGGCACAGTATGTCAGAGTGGCAACATAGGGCTGAGGAGACCTGTTCACATCATGGTGGCCAGAAAGGAAAGAGAGCAAGCAGGGTTTGGTGTCCTGGCATTTTTCAGGGACTTACTCCCTGTGACCCCCAACTTCCTCCTGCTGGCCCCCACTTAAAGGTTCCACCATCTCCCAGTAGCACCATGGGTTGGGAATCGAGATATCAACACCTGCCCCTTTAGGGGGAGTCTGAGACTATAGTAATTAGGATTGAAGAAGAAAGATCTAAAGAGAAATGTTCTTCTTTAAGGGACTTTACTTTGGACCACTCCCCTATATGATTTGAAGAGGAAAGAGTGTTCTAATAAATGTACACTGGTTATATTTGTGTTTCTTAACACTGATTGAATGAATAGACCAGAATGACTTTATATTTTAGAGTTAATGTGTATAAAATGTTAAAAAGAGTGAACTGAGTGTGGCTGTGCATGTTGATAATCCCAGCTACTCAGGAGGCTGAGGCAGCAGAATTGGAAATTCAAGGCTAGCCTGGGTAACTTAGCAAGACCCTGTCTTGAAACAAAAGTATTGAAAAGGTCTGGGGGTGTAGCTTAGCACTCCGTTGGTTCAGTCTTCAGTACCACACACAAAGATGAAACAAAACGTGTTTGGCACATACTGTGCATTGTATTGACTATGGTTACTATTATTAATCTTACTTATAATATCTCTTAAATAATACTCTTTTTGTCCAGTTCCTAACAATGTGTCATTGCCCTTTCAGAAACATTCTAAAGATGAGTTTGTGTTTAATTTCCTTTTTTTTTTTTTTTGAGTCAGGGTCTTGCTATGTAGTTCAGGATGGCCTTGAATTCATTATGTAGCCAAGGCTGGCCCTGAATTTGAGGCAGTCCTCCTGCCTCAGCCTCCTGAGTGCTGGGATTACAGTTGTGTGCCACCACACCCACCTAATTTCTTGGTACTTACCTGAGATTGTGCTGCTTAATAGTTGGTAGTAATAGTAAATTAATAGTTTCAACCTGAAATTGATGAAGGCTGAGCTTGCTTTTTTCCCCAAAAATATGCTATTCTAAATACTGATTCTAATCATAATTATCTGTATGTGGTTTATTAAGATCAAAAAAGAAGGCAGTTTTGAACTTTATAAATTATTTCCTTCCTCTCAGAATTGAAAAACGAGACAAATATAGCCGAAGACGTCCTTACAATGATGATGCAGACATCGACTACATTAATGAAAGGAATGCCAAATTCAATAAGAAAGCTGAAAGGTTCTATGGGAAGTATACGGCTGAAATTAAACAGAATTTGGAAAGAGGAACAGCTGTTTAATCCCTTCCAGAACTGTTTTTAGAAGCTTAAGAATGGAGTGAAAATTTCTGCTAGCAAATTGAAGTTCTCTTTAATATTTTATCAGTAAATCAGAACATAGTCTATGCCTTCCCACTCAGCATTTTGAAATAATAAATTTTTTTTCTTAAATGTATACTTCTTGTATATTTCCACAGTTTTGTGCTAGGATAAAAGATGTATTTCTTGTAGTGAAGTTGTTTTGTAAAAACCTACTTTGTATAAGTCCTGATTATATTATTTTTCTATGTATTTTAAGTGTATACTGTTTAGTCTTTGAGCTTTTGGGCTTAAAATTGCTGGCAGTGCATGCAAATGCAGTCGCTATTGCTTTGAATATTGTGAATTTGACAAAATCTAGAGCTGGGCTATGGATCCCTGGGGTTGAGGACTGAAGGTGGCAGTGGCCCTTGGAGTTGTTGGTACAGTCAGTGCTGCGCATGACCGAGTGGGGCCAGTTGGAGGGCCATCATTGAGTATCTGTCTACCGTGTATAGTTCCTTTTTAAAAGAGCAATAAATGCTTTGGAATAGAATCTGTACTAATTATTTATAATTTAAGACAAAGACTCAGTGATAGAGTGCTTTTCCTTGGGTTCAGTCCCTACCACTGGGAAATATTTATATATATATATATATATTTATATACATATATATTATGAATATATACCTGTACAGATATATATATACATAAATATGTATATATAAAAATTAGTGAATCCTATATACCCAATAGCCATGTTCTATATAATTCATAGTCAATCTTGTTTCATCTTTATTGCTATCCATAACTCCTGTTACTTTTTTTTTTTTCATACTGGGGATCCAACTCAGGACCTTGCACTTGCAAGGCAGGTGGTGGCACCACTGAGGTGTTACTTCACTATGTAACTCTGAAAAAACCTATTAAAACGCTATTTTTGGGGGTTGGTTTTGGTACTGGGGATTGAACTCAGGACTGCGTTTGTGAGGCAGGCGCGATCCCACTGAGCTAAATCCCTGGACCTATTAAAACCAATAAACTATTAAAACTATTAAACTTAGCAATAGTTTTATTTTCATACAAGTCTACAGAGAAAGACTTGTGTGTTGATTAAAGTACTAAATATCTAATGACATTCCAAGTAAAGCTGAAACTCAATTTCACAAAGACTTCAGATTTAGTGTTTGAAAACAATTTAACATTTAGTGTCACTGGTCATTGCCCCTTTTAGAATTATTGTACAGTAGCACTTTCTTTTTATTTCTGTTCACACTTTGTTTCCTGTCCTAGTGTTTCTACGTGGTTGGTCTCAAGTCTGTCACAAGCCTTGATGCTCCTGAAAATACACCGATATGTTCCTGTCTTTCCATCTCCGCTACCATAGTTCATGCCTGAATACTGCAGTAGATTTAAGAAAAACCTTCAAAATATTGTCAAGTAGAATCTGGCAATGTATTTAAAAGAATAGTTCACTGAGAGTTAGTAGGGTTGATTCTGAAATGTACAAGTAGCTCGTAGACCATGTTAGTTGCCTGCCCAATATTAATTCTTCATTACTAACCAGAACCCTGATACTGGTGATCAAATTACAATATTAGCTAAGATGATGCAAGCAAAATTCTGAGAAGTCTGCTTTCCTGATATGGGAGTTGCTACTCCATGTTTCCCCCTTCTTTCTTCCTGTTTGAATCATCCAGGAGCCTGGAGTTGTAACAGCTGTTAAGCCTGAGGACAGAAGTCAACATACAGAGGAGAACAGAGCAGAGCTTGGGCTCCTGTTTACATTGCTCAGCATCTGCACAAGTCATAAATGCTTGCCTTTCACCTTCCTTTTACTGAATAAATTTATGACTGATGCATGGTTCAATTGTAGGACAAATATCAGCAAGTTAAATGTTACACGTACCAAATCAGTTTGGAAATGGGAGGATGTAGTCCACTTAAAATAGCAACAGAAATGGTAAGCTATTTAAGCACAATTATTTTGTTGTTTTCCTTTGATTTTGAGATAGGGTCTTACTATGTAGTTCAGGCTGGCTTGAACTCACGATGTAGCTCAGGCTGGCCTTAGACTTGAGGTGATCCTGCCTCAGCCTTTCTAGTGCTGGGATTATAGATGTGAGCTACCATGCCCATTAAGCACAAATTTAATGAGAAAGCACAGGATTTATATGAAGGAAATTATAAAATCTAACAGTGAATAGGAGACTTCTAACAAGTTGAGTAACAAGGGACAGATTTTCTTTACTGCCTAAAACAAAAGATGGCATATATGAAACAACATTTCAAAATACCAGAAATCAGACAAGGAAGGATAGCAATCCTTGAGAGAAAACAAGGTTAGTCCTGTGATGGCCTCGGCTTGCTGCCCTTGAAAACCTAAAGGCTGTAGTGCCTGGACAGAGAACCCTATGGGAACCCAGTGGACCCCCTTAGTTGAGAGATCTGAAGTCCAGGAAGACCAAGTAGCAAGAGCTCACGGGACAGGGTGATGGTGAGGAGAGCTGCAGGGGGTTCCCCTAGGTAAGGTCGTGGACTGATCAGCAAATCTGTGAGAGCAAATGCCTTGAGGGTAGAGAGAGAACCACCTGAAAGGATTGGAAGGACTAGTACTTGGCATTCACAGATGGTCAGAAGCAGTGTTTTTCTCATCAGCCAGAATGGAGAATTTCATAATTCTTTATTAGGCAACTTCTTGTTACTGTAACAAAACACCTGAGACAATCACAGAAGAGGTTAATTTTGTTGTTTTGGAGATTCCAGTCCATGGTTAGATGAATCCACCGCTTTTAGGCCTGTAGTGATGTAGTACAGTATGACAGGAAGCATGTGGTAGGGCAAGTTGCTTATTTCATAGTGGCAAAAGAGAGGTAGAGGAAGAGAGTATCTCTTCCTCTCCTTATAACGACAGCAGTCCTGCTGGATTAGGGTCCCATTCCTATGACCACAAACCTCTTCGAAGACATGCCCCCAGTGACCTACAACCTGCCACTTGGCCCCACCTCTTAAATGTTCCACCACCTGCAGTATCACTGCAGGCCTTTTGGGGACACTTATCCAAACCCTAGCAATGGGGTATTAAGTGGAACAGTGAGAAAGTTCTTGCCTCAGTAGTAAAGAATAACTAATTGCTTGGATCTCACCTAACAAGACCTGAAAGAATCAAACTATTTCCAAATAATCTTTTTTTCCAGTGCCGGGAATTGAACTCAGGACCTTATGCTTGCCAGGCAGATGTGACACTGCTGAGCTACACCCCTGGCCCTTTTCCAAATAATTTAGCAGCATTCCAGAACAAAGATTAAGAGAATTATTTTTAAAAAACCAAAATATCTAGTAGCTAACAATATCAAATTCACAATGTCCAGTATCTAATCATAGAAGCAGGAAAAGAGGAACCATAAGTAGAAGAAAAGCCAGTGAATCAAGGCAAGAACTGATACATTAGAATTAAGAGACAAGGAAATTAAAAGCTATTTTAACTGTACCCCACATGGTCAAAATTCTAAGAATCATGAAAAAATGATCAACATTGAACTTCTAGACATGAAAACTACAATGTCTGAGATAAAAAATAAACTGGATAGACTAATAGCAGATTATACAGCACAGAAGAAGAGATTTGGGAATGTGGAAATGTAGCAACAGAAACCAACATGAAACAGAAGGTAAAAATAATGAAAATCTTTGAACAAAATCACCCGTCTCGTGATACCCAGTACATGCAATTTGGAGCTCCCCAAAGACAAGAGGGCTGACACTGTTGCCCAAAGAAGGTGAAATTTCTATCTGAGGTCTGTTTCTGTTGAAGTATGAGCAGGTATGAGAAGCATATGGAAGCCATGTGCTGTGCTGAGGTTTCTCCTGGACATAGCAGGACAGAAGGATCTGAAAGGTCCTAACTGGCTCAGGTGTGGCTGCAAGATGCAGTTCTCCTTAGCGAAGTGAGGGCTTAATTAGGGCTCTCTTACTCAGGCGCCCAGTTGCAGTGTTGGCAAGGGCTGGGTCTGGCCATAATAAAACGTATCGCAGTTACACTGCCTTGGAGGGGAGCCCAGGTTCTGGGTGGCTCTGAGTGACTGCCCCACTGGGATTCTACTAAAGCCTTGGTGGGGTGGGGTGGTAACAACCCCAGCCTGGCAGGATTGCTGTTGGCACTGCATGGCTAATCCATGCCAAGTGCTCGGCGCAAGGGGCTGGTGCGAGTGAAAGCCAGGAATGCTGGCAGTTCCTACTACCATCACCATTTCTCTGTAGGTCTGTCCTACTTTCTCCTTTCTCAGGCAATAAGCACTGTGTAATAACTCTTAAAAGCACCAACCCAAATGCCAAATGGCCTGGATTCAAACCCTGACTCCTCCATTTGCCAGGGAAAAGATCTCAGGCCAGTCACCTACATTGGTCTGTGAGGGCTGCCATCACAGAATACTGCAGACTGAGTAGCTTCAACAAGAGACATCATCTCCTCAGTTCTTAAGGCTGCAAGGCCAAGGTCAGGGATCAGCAGGCTTCCTATCTTGCAAGTGGCTGCCTTTTCACTGTGTCCTCACATGGCCTGTCCTTTGCACTGTCACACTCCTGGTGTCTCTTCCTCTCCTTTTAAGGACAGCAGTCCTGTTGGATTAGGGTCCTGTCCCTATGACCTCATTTAGCTAATGATTACTTCCTTATAGTCCCTATTTCCCAATACAGTCACATTGGGCATTAGGGCCTCCATATAGAAATTTGAAGGAGAAAGCACAATTCAGTCTAGAACATCCTCAACCACTTTGTGTCTCAGTTTCCCCAGTTCTAAAAAGTTTTCGTAATACCTCAGGGCACTATTGTGAGGACTAGATGAGTGTGAAGTGTGTAGGCCAGTCTTGCTCATAGTGGGTTCTATGTGAGGGATGATAGCACTAATAAAATCCACAACTATAACGTCTTCATGCCCATTTCCTGCACTAGCTCTGCTCTCCTTTCCTCACGTCCAAATCAAGATAATGCCACATTGAACTTTCAGAAATCTTCCAAGGAGGTAGGACTTCCTGAAAGTCTTGGTCATTTTTAAAGAGCTGGCAGAGACTTCCTTTTTTTGCCCACCAGGTTGGAGAGGCAAGAATGTTGGAAGCATTTAAACTTTCCTTCCCCTGCTTCCCTTATGCCCTATCCTCAGCCAGGTTGCTGTAACCGATCGAAGCTTCACAGCCTGCTCGCCATGTTCCTCTGGGGGTAGCTTTAAAAGCTCATCATTTATGCAGGATTCACTTTGCACTCTCCCTGGGCTGCTTCTCCTATCTAAAGCTGTTAGAGTCAAAATCCAGTTTCGGAGAAATGACAACTACTAGTGCAGCGAGGGATCTGAGGGCAAGAGGTCCTGTCTGACTTTTGGGCTAGGTTAGAACCAGTGCTTAAGGCTGTATCATTAGAAACAGACAAGCATCCCCACCCCAACTCTATCTTTAAAAATGTTCGCTGGTAAAGATCTCGGCACCTCATCTGGCTGAAGGTGTGATGTGTATGTGGCTGTAGTGGGACAGAGTGGTGTGTTTCTTCAGCTGGCAGCAGCCCACTGAGGAGCGATGTATGAAGAGCCCTCATCTTAGAAACATAGCTCAGGGTGTGTGGAAGATATACATAATGCTCAGGGGACAAAACCTGAAAGCAGAAAGGGAGCTGGGGAAGGAAACCAGGGATGAGTCAATGGCGTCCTTATCAGGGAAACTTTTGAGCGCCCTCTTATGGGAATTGAGAAGCACACTTTCAAATATGAGCTACATTCCCAGGCTTTTTATTTTTTATTTTGAGACAGAGTCTGGCTAATTTCTCCAGGCTGGACTTGAACTCGCTATGTTGCCCAGGCTGGCCTTGAACTTGCAGTAATCCTCCTGCCTCAGTCTCCCCAGTCCTGGGATTACAGGCGTGCGCCACCATACCTGGCTTTTTGATGCAGGGTTTTTTTGTTTTGTTTTGTTTTTTCCAGTACCGGGACTGAACTCAGGACTTTGCACTTGCCAGACAGGCACAGAGCCACTGAGCTACATCCCCAGCCCTTTGATGCAGTTGTAGTGACAGTT